ATATTCTCAAAGTTATATGTTGTGTGAGCCATGTCCCCATGAGTTCATTTTCTTTGTGCGTGTGGTAAAGTATATTGACGTGCAAATCATATATGGTTGACTATTCATATTCATCTATGGACTTCAATTTCATTGCAACATTTATGGACACGGTTGTCAAATTTTGTTTGATCTATGCAGCTTTGTCCAAATGAAGCTCAAGCATCAGGCCCACCATCCAATGGCTCGAGTTTACTGGAGAAAATCAATAAAAATATGGAGAAACTTGAGATGATACCCCTAGAGATGGAGCGCATTAGGCTGGTCACAATGGGGAGGAACTTAGGAGTAACATCACACACTTCAATACAACTTTGCTTATGTGGCACATATTTAATGAAGAGAGAGATGTTTGTGGTAACTAGCTAAGTTACCGAAACATCACACACTCCAAGAAACAATGAGTCTATAACCTAATAAATACATCGTTGCATGACACTACATAGATGTTCCTACCCACTATGGAGATAGTAACATAGTCTAAGGAAATGTGTAAGTTACTAGCTTATGTTCTTGCCCATTGTGACCAGCCTTAAGGATCGGCCAGTGATACGCCTCAAGGACTATCTCTTCAAGGAGCCCGAGCTTTTCCCGAAACCCAAGGACCCCAAGAAGCGAAAGGTCAAGCGCTAGAAGTGGTTGAACGCAGAGAGGAAACAGTAGAAAAAGATAATAGGATTAGGACTCATGAATTGTGGTAATAGCAGTACCATTTCCTGAAACATGCCTGCAACTGTACCTGAGAGGAAACGGTAGAGTAAAGGGAGTAGAAGTAGCGACCTGTAAATCATAGTAACCCATTACCTGAAACACGTCTACCTAGTGACACACATTGGGAGTACATGCATGGTGTTATGAGAATTGGTGCTTTGACCGGTGGTTCTATGTACAGGCATGGTGTTATCTGCAAGTTGAATGATGCTGTTGAAATGTTTAAGTGTAATGTGTCTCTTGCTTTCAGCAGAAGAGCTTGGCACGTTTGGTGTTGTTGCGTGCATGTTACCATGTTGCAAGTCACGGGGAAATCAGCCACGTTCTAGTTTGTGTGTACACATTTTTTTGTTCCATAGATTGTCAGTCCTCATTTGGTTTTGACCAACGTTATTTCCACGGGAAGAAAAGCCAAGACCCTAGAGGTCCCTTTTTAGCTCTTCATACCGAATTTGAACAAGGTTCCCTCAGATTATTTTGGCTGGTTTCTCTAGATTTTATTTTGGTTTTGTCGGTCGGTTTTCTATTTTTCTTATCATTGTTTTAGTTTTTTTTTCTTCTTTTTTCATTTTTCTAGCTGGGCTTTGATCTGTTTCTTCCAGAAGGTTTTGGCAAGCTTCTATAAGCTTATGGTCATTTTTCTATTTTGTTTTCATTCCTGGTTTTTTTTTGTTTTTCATTTGTTTTGTTTTAGTGATCGTAATATTTGAACTTTTTAAAATCACAAACTTGTTTTAAATTCATGAACTTTCTTAATATTTCACAATTGTCTTTCAAATTTGTGAACATATTTCAAACTCATGAATTTTTTGCAATTCGATGATTTTTCAGATTCATGATTTTTTTATATTTGTAATCCTTTTCAAATTCATGAAAATTTCAGAAATCCTTTTCAAATATGTGATTTTTTGATTTGAAAATCGATAACCATTTCTCTTCTTTATAGCAAAGCAAAACAGAACAAAAGCGAGCGAATGCACGCGTGGGCAGTGAGCGAGCAAGCGAAAGGGCTGGTCCACCCTCGCGCGATGTGAGCGTTATGCGTTGATTTGGCAGCAGAAGCGCTTGTTGGGAGGTCTTGCGTGGCTATGCCTCGCTTTAAGCAAACCAGGTATCTACTCGCATCAAGGAACTACTGCATTGCTTTCCTTCATTTATTTATTTTGCTGGTTTTCTTTTCATATTTTTTTTGAAATATTCTTAATACATATACTTTAAAAATTAATTAAACATTTTTAAAAAAAATGTTAATAAAGTATTTGCAAATATGTTAACGTTGTGCAAAATATTTGTCCTTGTAACTTTTAAAAAAGTTGGTGACCTTTACGAAATGTTCAAGCATTTCATAAATGATACCTGAATTTTTTTTAAATCTTTCTAAAATGTAAAAAAAATGTTCACATAATATATAAAAGATGTTTCATACAAAGAAAAAATTGCATGCATTTAAAAATAATATTGGTAACATTTAAAGAAATATTTATACAATGTAAAAAGTATTCAGTAGTGAAGAAATGTTTCATGCCATTAAAAAATGTTGAACATGTATTTCAAAATGTATTGAAAAGAATGTTCAAAACATGTATGTGAAAATATACATTGTTTATTTGGAAAATGTTCAATGTGGATATGAAAAATGTTCTTGTTGTATAAGAAAAATAAAAGTGTATAATATGTCTTAAAAAGTAGACACGTGTTAAGAAAAATAGAGTGAAAAGAAAAAAGGAAAATATAATAAAAATAAGAACAAAGAAAACCGAGGAAGAAACACAGAAAAAAGAAACAAAGAAAACTGTACATAAGCTTCTGAAACGTCTTCGGTGAGACGGAGTACCATCTCACAATAGGTGAGATATAGCTCCAATGGTACATTTGTATGGGCCATACGAAATTTGTATGCACCAATAAAGCCTGACATATGTATGGGCCATAGAAAGTATACTTCCAATTGGAAGTGCATCCATCTTTTCATGGAGGAAACTTTTTTTTGGGAACAACTATGAGGGTTCACATTCCACAGAGGACTCATAAGCTGACTTAATTAAGTGGGGTGGCGGGTAGTTACATAGGGTTTTAGAGAGATGGAGGTGCCGACTGGAGATTTTGTTAGTGTCCTCACCTTGGCAGCCATTTTGACGCTCAAAGGTGAGGGGATCTCAGATCTAAGAGTTTTTTTGTTAGCATCTTTGTAGTATGCTTTTGCGAATAAATTCTTTGTCTCCACCGTAATGATGCCATGGAAACAAAGGTGTTTGTATCCTCGTAGATCTGTCTATCCGGATCAATGAGTTTATGTATTGTGCCCTATTGTTTTTTGTTGGTTTGATATTTTAGAGTGTCGGAGTTGTGGTGAAGATCTTGTGGTTCAACGGACTGCATTTATCTCTGGCCCTGGTCCGTTCATCGATCATGACTTTCCAGCTAATTTGGATGGGCAACTCAAGGGGGCTTTCAATTTTTTTTTTGGTAATCAAGTTCATGCAGGTGAACGAGTGGCATCTCGCTGCTCGGGTCCAATAGTAGTATGTCTACTGAAGTCTGAAATGTACTTTTTTCTTGCAAGGAATGATACCACAGAGAAGATATCTCCAAGTGATTTAGTTTACTTTGTGGGTTTCTAGATTTTTTAGTTGATTTCTTTGGATCTTGGATCCAAAGCATTGTACATGAAAGTGTTACAAGTATGAGTAAAGTTACAAGTTTTTTTACTTAATTAATAAAAGATAGACATTGCATTGTTTCATGAATGTTCTAGAGTGATTCCAGTGAGATTGATTATACGAAACCTAAATATTGAGATTAATAATACAAAAATTTAAAGTAAAAATACATACGGTTTGTTATATACTCGCTCTGTTCCTAAATATAAGTCTTTTTAGATATTCCAGCATAGACTACATAACGAGCAAAATGAGTGAATGCACACTCTAAACTATGTCTATATACATCCGTATGTTGTTCGTATTGAAATATCTAAAAAGACTTATATTTAGAAATGGATGGAGTAGTTGTAAAGTGTGCATTGAGGTGAGCATTTTTTTTCCATGGATGATTACATATTGAGGTGACAATGTTTGCATATTGAGAGAAATATGTTATGGAGGATCACCAACTTATTTATATGATGATACAGGATTACAACAGAATCCTAGAAAGACCTCTAAAGAATTCAAAATTACAAACTAGTCCTTCCAATTCGCGCATAGGGCCTCAGATGTAAAACGTGACAGGCTCCTAGTGCTCTTGCCGACCATGTTAGAAGCGGAGTCCCCAACTCGGGAATCTTTGGCCTTGCTACTATGCCAGGAAGGGAGCCGGATCCTCTAACTTAGAGAAGCAAAGTCACGGTGCTATAGGACAATTCTAGTGTAAAATGAAGAAGGAATGTTAGAGACGTTTAGCAGATTATTTACTATTAATATTTATCGTAGATATAAATAATTTTTAATTAATTTTATTTCACCATCAATTTGTTTGTATGTAATGATTATAAATATACACATTAATTTTGCAATTTATAAATTAATTTAAATCATTTTAGTCTTAATCATATGGATGGAAAGAAGAAAAGTTAGGGTATTGTAGTTTTCCTAATTTTTCTTTTTAATGTTACAGGATCCAGTTCTGCCAGGAAGATGCCAACAAGTTTGCTGAGGGAGGTCACCAAAGGCAGGCCAGCAGTGCTATACGGACGACACAAGAGCGGATGATTCATGGACGACAGTGAAATCCAGCCGCGCACGCATGTATACGGAAGAGTGACGGCCGCCGGATTCTTAATCGTCTTCACATTGTCTACGCTTTTGTCGTCCGTAGAGCAGTTTCGAAGGCAGGAGCAAGGTTGAAGGAGGCAGGGGAGCTCGGCGCTTGGCCATCGCGGGAGACATAAGTCCTTGGGATTCTCAACTCCCACTGGTTAATGATGGAAAATATCAGGTGCCCCCATGACTCACAACATGCTCCCATGCTACAGGAGCACCCGAAACATTGGATGTGAGATTGAACGGTGGCAAAGAAAGCTCGTGAAAACATTGCGGAAAACCCTCCAAAGGATCATGTTATTGCAGGCAGGTCCACATGCTTTAAAGCTGACTGTCCGATCTCAAGCCGATAATGACCTCTTAAAGATCAACATAATTGACAATTACTGTCACAAGGTGCTACGAGCACAGCACATACGCAATGAATGGAAATGAAAAACCCAGAGAATGCAAGGCAGGGGTTACAGCACAGCAAGGATATATAGCTAGCTAGGCGATGAGGTCCTTGAGGTAGTTGTCGTAGACGAAGTCGACGAGGATCCTGTAGGCCTTCTCGGTGGGGTGGTAGCTGTCCCAGAACAGGTACTCCTCCACGTCCCCGCACACCGCCGACGTGACGCCGTTGCAGAGCACGGCCACCTCCATCATGCCCGTGCCGCAGCAGCCCAGCGTGGACTCCCTGAACCCGTACGCGTCCGGCCGCACCATCATGTCCAGCAGGTACCCGTAGATGTCCATCAGCATCACCCTCGCCCCCGGGTGCTTCGCCTTGAGGGACTCGACGGCGGTGCCCATCCCGGCGTTCACCAGCTCCGCGATCTCGTTGTGGCCGGGGGAGCACCCGCGGCCCATGCCGCCCGAGAGCGTGCGCTGGGAGGGCACGCAGCCGATGGGCGGCATGGAGATGACGGCGACGCGGCGGGCGCCCGCGGCCAGCAGGCCGTCGAGGAAGGCGGTGGCGTGGGCGACGATGAGCGACGCGTAGGAGGCGTGCGAGTAGGAGCTCCGCGCGCGCATGGTGAAGTAGGTGTTGGCCACGTCGTCGCTGCCGGCGCACACCGCGAACACGCCCCTGGCGAGGATCTCCGAGAGCGCGGCGTCGCCGCCCGCGGCGCGGACCTTGGCCTTGTACTCGTCGAACATGCGGAGCTGGTCCGTCATGGAGATGACGGAGGCGAGCTGCGCCGTGAGCGGGTCGTACCCCGTGCCGCCCGACGCGAAGCTGACGCCGGTGAGCAGGTCGTGCCGCGACAGGTTCGGGGCCAGGTAGGCCGGGAGGAGCTGCTTGAGGCCGAGCCTGGAGGCGATGAAGTCGGTGGGGATCCTGCCGTTGCAGAAGCGGCCGGTGGGGCGGTGGTCGGCGCCGAAGTCGTGGCCGTAGGGCGCGAAGTTGGCCTTGACGATGGTGCTGATGGCGTTGTTGTTGCCCGGATCCACGATCGAGTCGCCGAACACCACCAGCGCCGGCACCTGCTGCTTCTTCCCAGCACGCTTCTTCGGCGCCGCCGTCGCCGTCACAGTTGCACCGGCGGTGCTGCTGCTGCCCGTGTATGTGGCTCGGCTGGAAACAACGGCCGCCGCCGCCAGCAGCAGTAACGACACCAGCAAGGCCGACATGGAGTTCCTGCCCTGCATCCTTCTTGTTGCACGCTCCACGCCCATTGCCATTGGTAAATAACTAGACTGCACTAGAGTGGAGAGTGGAGAGTGGTAGGGGAGTGGAGTGGAGTGGAGTGGTGTGTGTTGGAGAGGGGAGGATTTATGCATGGCTTTCGGCGCATGCAGACTGGCAAGGATCACGTGGTCTGAGTAGATGCCAACACATAGTACCGGTCTATCGGTGCTGTGGTGCAGCACGTAGAGTAGAGGAGTACTACTCCCTCCATTTCATAATATAGTATGCTTGCGCTTATCAAGATTCAAATTAGACCGTAAATTTAAGAGTGAATTCCACTTTTTACCCCATATTTATACATTTGTGACACTAATTACCCCTTCGAGTGAAAATTCGTCTAGAATACCCCTTTTGAAATCTTTGGACCCTTGTTTTTTGATGCGTGTCCATCAGGTAAGGTGTGAGGTGACGCCCTGTATCCAAAAACATGTGGACGGCCACAAGGAGTGGAATAGATAAACAAGAGAAGCTTGGACAAGATCGCCAATGATGCCCTCCGATCCTTACAATTTTTTTTACAAATCAATGACGCAACATGCCGATCCTATCGACCATAAACAGACAAAATGTAAAACTGGGATAAAACCGTGTTAAAAGTCTCCAAAATCTGACATTTTGATAAAAGTTCCGCTAAATAGGGTAATATGTGTCACAAATGTACAACTACAAGGTAAAAATGAAATTCACTCTAAATTTAATCAACAAGACTGATTGCGACGGGAGCAAAAATTATAACATTGAATTCGTATTTTCGATATGAAATCAGAGGTACAAATTTTTGCTCCTGCCGCAGTCGTTTGTTAAATTTACAGTCAAATTTGGATCCCGGGAAGCGCAGGCGCACTACATTATGAAATGAAGAGAGTACCTCTGTCCTGGTTTATTGGTCCTCATTATATTCTGTGCCAAATTTTAATCTAATATTTAACTTACAAAATGTTAATGCATGCCAATAAAAATTATATCATTGAATACGTATTTGAACATAGTTTCTAATGATGGAAGTATTGGTGACATGCATTATCAATTTGTTAGTTAAATAGGAGTATATGGTTAAAATTTGGTATAAAATACAATAAAGACCTATAAACCAGGACAAAGGTAGTACTACTCCCTCTGTCCGGTAGCAAGTGTACATCTAGAAAATGGATGACATATTAGTTCTCTCTCCTCTTATTAGTCTCCACCAATTAAATTAGAGGAGAAGAATTAGGATTGGGGCGTGATGCGGGGGAGAAGAATGGGATTGGAGGATAGAGTGGGGGCAGCGATTACTAGGAGGTGATTGCATTTATTAACCGTATAAGAAGTGTAGATGTACACTTTTTCCGGGACAAATTTGTATGCTAGATGCACACTTATAGCCAGCTGTTCGCTATATGATGTTGCCATGTCACATATAGTCAAGCTTATAGTCAACAAGTATAATAGGTAGATATAAATATGTACTACTTTGTTGATATATGGCCTACCCCAGTGTCTCACAAAGTACCTAGGAGCACGTGCTGCAGCCGGCTGTTAACTAGTAGCCCGCTTCTCTTCTCTCTCCTCTCCTCTCTTTTCCAAGTAAGCAAGAATATAATATTTAATGTCTTACAGCCCGCCTACATCACCTTAGGCTGGTCATAGTGGAGAGTAACTTAGACTACTAGTAACATACATACGTTACTAGTCCATGTTACTACCTTCATAGTGGGAAGTGTCATATGTGTAGTAACATACATGTCTTCATTTATTGCTTTGTAGACTCATTTTGTATTGGGAACCGCTATGTTATGATAACATATTATGTTATTCTATTTATCTCTCTCCTCTTTAATTACATAACACATCATCTTTTTTGCTTATGTGGCATCTATGTTACTCCTTCATAGTGGAGTACTACTTATGTTACTCTCATTATAACCAGGCTTATTGTATTTGCTCTTATAACCGGACGGAGGGAGTATATACGAGCGCTCGCGCGTCCCTTCAGATCCATTCATTGCGTTTCTGTAGGTGCTGGCTAGCCTAAATACGACCTGCATGTCTGCATTCATATCTTGCGGATCTCACTCGCCAATTCATTTATTCATGTCACCAAAGCAAACCATACCAAACGGCCAAACCAAACGGCCAATGCCAACGCATGCTTGCTGACTGCCATGCTCGAGTCAGTCAAGGATGTAGGTTGTCAGCTCCTATCGTGCACTGTTTTGCTAGAGGCCATGGGCGTACACAGTAAATATACAATGATGATAAATGTACAAAGAGTTACATGCAATTACACATTGATTAGAATTCTTTCTTTTTAACTAATCTTTCCTCCCTAATTTTCAATGGTGGACCCCTCCTATCCCTTAATCTCTAATCAAAACCCATCTGCCTGTAAAACCCCGGTAAACTATGTGTAGCATTACTCATAAATATATTAGTAACAGATATGGCGAGAGCATGGCTGCCTACACTCAGGAAATATCCTATGATACCAGCTCTCGTATGCTCCCATGATACTACCTTCAAAAGAATTCAAATTTAAGCATTCGATAAAATTCTGGAAAAAATGGGGATGTTCACAGCACATATGTTGACAAACCCTAAAAATTTCAGATCAAAATTCAAAATAGATATGGAGAAACTAAAAGACAAATTCAGATGTGAATAGTGTCGTTTTTTGCTTTTGTCTTCTTTTGACACTATTCATGATAGAACTGTATTTTTTTGTTTCTTCAACGTACATTTTGAATTTTGATATGAGTTTTTAAGGTATTGTCGACATATGTGTTGTGAACATCCATGATTTCTTTTAGAATTTTTTGAAGTGTTCAAATTTGATAGCATGGGAGCATTTGAGGGTTGGTATCACCTGATACTTTTCCACTCACTAGGGTCCGATCGAGCCATGAACTCGACGTTCTTTACTTTTTGCTAAACCTTGTGTGAAAATACAAACTTAAAGCATGGAGATTGACGCTCTTACGAGGAAAATAACGTCGTCATTTGCTCCTCGAAGACGACGTACTATAGGTTCTACATGCTAGATTTTCTTTCACGAGAAATGAATCAAGGCATGCATGCGTACTAGCTAAGTCTATATCTTTTTTTTTAAAACGGAGGCAAAAGATTTGCCTCATATATTAAATAAGGAGGAGAGAGAGAGAGTTTGTTACAACATACACCCAAATTACGGGATGACAATTATTCTCGCAATAAAAAAGGCTCTAGTTTCTTTGCCCCAGCTTTGATCCAAAGGTTTGCCTCGTCTTCAATAATGCTAAGCAAGGTTTGCGGAGGTGCGCTCTTTTGCCTGAACACTCTTGCGTTGCACTTATTCCAGATGACCCATGACACTAGCATGGTAATCGATGCCTTTGCTTTTCCGTCGGTGGTGCCCTGGTGCATGTGCTCGCCCACCAGGCATGAACGGAGTCAAACAGGTGCCATGTGGACGTGTCCATGTTGTGGATGCGAAATTTCTGAATAGCCATGTTCCAAAGCCTGAGAGTGAAGCGTCATCTGAAGAAAAGATGAGGGCCACATTCCTGCACCTGTCGGCACAAGGGGCAGGGGTCACAGTTAGGCCATCCTCGCTTCTCCAATCTGTCAGCAGTCCAGATCCTATCCTGAAGCGCGAGCCAAGCAAAGAATTTTACTTTTGGTGGGGCCCAAGCCTTCCAGACCATTTGGTCCATGGAGGAGAGGACCAAACCCAAAAATTGTGCCCTGTAAGTGCGAAGGCCGCGGAGTAGTGCCCAGATTCCGTGTGCTTCCATAGGATGTCATCCATGAGCTCATCCAGGTGCACCTCATGCAGTAGCATCCAAAGGGTGAAGAATTGCGCAACATGCTTGATGGAAACCGATGCGGGCAGTCTGATTTTTGAGGATCCACGCGTTGTCCTTGAGGGCCTCCCGTACCTTCTAGTGCTTCCGGGAGAAAGTCTCGTAAATGAGCGGAGAAATGTCTTTGGGCTTGCGACCAAGGAGCCAAGGGGAGTCCCAAAATGGAGTCTTCGCACTGTTCCCAACCGTGATGGTGGTACAGGCGTAGAAAAAGTTGAGGTCCTCCTCATCACACGGGTTCCCACTCCCGACCCATAACTTTGTGGGCTCCTTCCACTCGTACAAAGGCCACCGCAAACGCAAAGCCCGCGCGAACTTGTTGGTGTTGAGGACTCCGAGTCCACCATAGGCGAGCGGCCGGCTGACAACATCCCAATTGACCTCGCACTTTGCCCTGGATGTCATATCCGACCCCGACCATAGGAAGGCCCGCTCAAGCTTGTCGATGTTTTGCAGAATGGTGGGTTGCATGACAAGTGGCGTGATGAAGTAGATCACTCGGGAAGTGAGGACCGACTTAACAAGGTCCGCGCGGCTAATGGTGGTGATGTTTTGTCCGTCATACGTAGTCAGTCTACTTGCCACTTTATCGACAAGAAATTGTATGTCGACGAGCTTCAGCTTTCACACAGATAGCGGGAGTCCCAGGTAGCGGAGCGGAAAGGAAGCCCTGACAGCCGGTAGCTCTTGCGTGATGTGGCCCAAGTCAAGGTTGCCGCACCGAATGAGGACCATTGAGCTCTTATGAAAGTTGGTGCAAAGGCCGGTGACTTCACCAAAACCTCGCAGAATGGCCGCAAGGTTATCCACATCTTTTTTTTGATCGGCGCTACAAACACACCCGCATCATCCGCATAGAGAGAGAGGTTCGCATCATCCTACAAACACAGCTAAGTCTTTATCGTTCTCTTGCCACGGTGATAGGACTGCCGGACTTGACTACACCGCGCCGCCCACAAGCCAGCTATCTGTAGCACGGTACATCAGTCTTTATGTGTGCCGCTCCCTACCTACCAGCTACCTAGCAGACCCCGCAAAAGGCCCTGACCCGCAAAATTCCGGCGAGTCTACGGACTCGGCCCGATTTTCTGGTCAGAACAGAACCCGTATACTCGTCCGACCCGTAAAAATATTTACCGTGGCCCACAAACCGCACGCCCCGACCATTATATCTACGGGTTCGCGACGCGTTTGCGGGTCGAAACCCTATGCCCCAGCCGCCGCCGACCACCGCAATTCCCCACTCCCCACCGCACATTTCTCGCCGCCGG